TAATAAAAACCTAAAAAACTAATTAATTTTAGTAAAAAAGAAATTAATTTAATTAAAAACCTAATAATCTAATTAATTTTAATTAAGAAAATTAATTAATTAAATTAATTAATTAAAAAAAGATGATTAAAACTAAACCTAATTAATTAACCTAAACTAATATTTTAGTATTAAAATTAAATAGTAAAAATAAATGAATAAAAAAAGAGAGAAATATAAATAAAAAAGTTTGGGGCTGCTTAAGCAAACATGGGGTGCTGAAAGGAATTTGATTAGGCCCAAAGAGGAGAGGCCCAATACACTGGATGAAGTCTGTGTGCTCCAGTGCTTTGCTTCGGGGAGGGTTCATCATGTGCTTGCGGATCTGGAAACATTCGATCATATCCTATGAAGATCTGATGGTGAGACGTGGTCGGGCGCACGGTAGGCTTATGTGACGCACTACACTTGATATGTAGAAAACAACAAATATAAAGAAAAAAATACAAGAGGCATGGATCGAACCCACAACCTTGAATATGAATGACTTAGAGGCAAGCACGCTACCACTGGGATGGTGATACACCCAATGATATGAACACAAACAATTAATTAAGTAATAAAACAATTAACTGGACGGGAGATGCACCGGAGCCCTAGCTCCAGTCGTCTTATCTGGTGGCTTTCTATTTTGTTCTTGCAAAATAAACGTTGTTAGAGATTCAAGGGCACCCTACCCCCATAAATCCAACCCTGTGAGTTCAATGGGACCATCATTTTGGGCTAAAATGCGTTGGTTTAGGAGATACGAAGAAAATTGCATGGATCAACATGAACATGGTGATTTATGGTTCAACCATCATGGGGCTTATAAGATGGACTTTTCCTGCATGTTGATACCTCATAAAAACATTAGCACAATTAATGGGTATTAAAATGCAAGAACAAACAAAATATGAAATCATGCAATATGAGAAACTGGTGATGCATGCTCGTGTGTTCCAGCCTTCTGGATCGTTGCAAACGATCCAACCTTACCCTATGATCTTCCTGGAAGTGAATGGAACATGTTTTTAACCTTGAGGGGGGCTTGAGACTAGGGTTTCGATTTGCCCTAATTCTTTGATATTTTTGGATTTTTGGAAAAGTGTTTCTTTCACAAGGGTTTCGTGTCCTTTTTATGTGTGAATGAGTGAGATTATATAGCTTGAATTTAGGTCAAATAAACATGGGCTTGGACTTTGTGAGAAAAACCTTGTTTTATCTAATTTATTTTGAATTTTAAAATAAATAAAAATGAATAAATAAATAAAGAGGTCAAGGGGTGCATGAAGTAATTCAGATGTTTATATGAAGTGTAGAACACACATAGACCTTGAAACGATAGCCCATTAGCCCAAAAATTCAAGTTTGCTCAATTTGAACTTCATGTATTTGCTCAAAATTTCCCAACTTGTACTAGTCATAACTCTCTCAATTTTCATCATTTGAAGGTGATCTTGAACTTTTTGGAAAGCTCAAGATGTCCTTTATAATCCCTATTTTAATCATTTTTTAATTTGAAGATTTATCTTGATGTAAGTTGTATTGGCAAAAAGTGTCTTTTTATTGACTTTTGAAATGACCTGTAATATTTTGGCCCATATCTCTCAAATGAAGCATTTTTTGGACTTGAGCTTAGAGAGACAAAGTTGTAGAGAATTGAATTTCCTTCAAAATGAGATTTGGTTAAGGAAAATCTGATAAGGAGTGTGAAAATTATGTTTGGTTAAAGTTCAGTTGATTTCTCCTTAAGAAAACCCTAATTTAGCAACTTTTGACTTTTCATGATTTAGGAGTTTTCTTGATTAATCATGATCAACTCTTGATAAAATAATGAATATGACTTCAAAATGTTGAGGTTGACCAAAATTCTTGAAGTTTGATTGTATGTTGACCACAATTGACTTTTTGTCCAATATAGTTGATTTTCAGTCATCTGAGCAATTGACTGAGCAAACTTGTGATGCAAGGCATGAAACTTGGTGTGAGCATTCCTTGAGACATACGAGGGACCATGAAATCCACTTGAGGCACTATAAGCTAAAATTTCCTTGAGAAAAGTGAAACCCTAGTTGTAGGTCAACTGCTTAGGAGGAGAATTTGTCTGATCAAATATTGAGTAGCCTTGAGAAGTTGAAAACCCTAGGATAATGAGAAGATGTCTTGAAGAAAATGGGAGGGAAAATTTTGGGGTACAAAACTTGGGCTTTTGGACTGCCCTATGTAAATGATGGCACCCCAAACAACTGCCACGTCGGGCTGGCGAGAGGACACATCGCCCACAACAATCTCACGCAAAACCACATGCTTGTGCCATTTCCACTCTTTGTGGCGGGCAAACGCTCGACATCATTACAACGCCTTACAAATGGACACGTCGAAGATGCGCACTCGAGGAAACTCCCTGCATCCCCGCGAATCTAGGTCCCTAACGGGCACCACATCAATATGAGCAAAAGATGAAGTCAGCAAATGAAATTCTCCCTGGGCGGGTCGACCACACCATACACGAATTTCTGAGTCCCCCTCGACATGAATCACAAAGCCTTCCCCGACGGGAGTTGACGGTTCCCCCTCTCGGGCAACACTTCTCTGACACTTGAATTGATCTCAAGTCACCACCCTTTCGTCTAAGGGCAATAACTTGTAGGGGCTCTTGTTCTGGACTGGGCCGACACTTGCCTCACCGTTGGGGAGGCCTCATCCAACGCCTTTACAAAGGCCCAATCCAGTGCCTTTACAAAGGCACAAAAGCGTGCGGCCCAAATAGAGGACTGTTGGGCATTTCCCCATGTGTCCACTAGGAGAACATGACTTGTGTCCATAACAACATCATCCTACCCTCCGAGAATAATAGGTCCAACTTCCCTGCTTTCTCGGGGCAGTTGACCAGGAAGGAGGCCACATGTTGGATTCCATACACCTGTAAACTCTGAAAGTCTTCATTATTGAACCTCACTGTGGCCCAATAATGAAGACCTTGGCCCAACGCTGAGGGCTATAAATACCCTCTCACTTGAGAGGGCCAAGTATTCGTTCATTCATCCATACTCTCACGCTTTACTCGCACTTACTATGAATCTTACTTTGACATTAGAGTGTCTTGCAGGTACTCCCCACTTCACATTTAACCAATGCTCGACTTAAAGCTCGTGGGCCTTGACAATCTCTTATGATATGGTACTATCAACTTTGATAGGACCTGACCTCAAATAAGTTAGGCCATAGCCCCCTGTAGGCCGACATTGACCTATTCACACACCTAATCTTAGGATTACATGGGTGCAAAATAGTTACCATGTTTGCTACAAGTTGGAAAAAATATTCTCAAGAATAAAAGTTGCTTGAAATAAAACAACTTTCATAATTTTCTTCGTTTTATTCTCATGAGAAGAAAGTGAGAATGTTCATTCTCATGAAATTTCATATAATTTAAACAAATAAAAAATATAACTACTCATTTTTTAAAGAACATCAAATTATATGCTAAATACAATTTTAAATAATACAGTAATTAAATCTTTATATTTTTATTCTCAAATAATTTATTCTTAAAAATCTTTTATAAATTCTTGAAACAAACGTTCGATAGGTTCAGGATGAATTAAATAAAAAATTCATAAACTAATTTAATTAAAAATTATTATTTAAATAAGGAATTGGGAAAAAGAAATATGTATTGACAATGTAAAATATTTTTACACCGTCTACCATTGAAAAACACGTATTCAATTAAATCTTATTTTTATTTTTAAAAAACATATATAATAGGGTAAATATAAAAATTTTGATTTAGATATATTTGTAAAATTGATTTACATTCTATCCAATACCTTTAAACTCCAAGGAATTAATTAATATATTTCTTAAAAGTAGTTTAGGCAAGAGTGTATTTATTAATTTTATAGTTTATTTTGGTAGTTTATTCAATTTAAAGTTAATTTTGATGCCACGGAGGAGTTCCCGCTTCTTTCGCACCTCCTTTGTCCAAGTCACGTCCTCAATTCACCATTTCCAATCTTCAACCTTTCTTCTCAAACCTTTTCCCTCTGTCACAAACCTAACCCCTTCTTTTCCCTTTTCATTCATTCTTCACATCGGATCCGTAAGTTCTCTCTCGTTTCCATTTTTTCTTTTCATACGATTTATTTTCTAACATTTACTTACTCATGAAACCGTTGCACTCTTTTTTTAGCCGTTAATTTTTAGGTCAGAAACCTCATATCTGAGTTTTGATGATGAATAAATTCAACGTAATCACAAGTGTCGGTATCGTGTTCAACATGGCTTTTATCACATGCGTCGGTGCTACAGAGTTCTAATTATGTTTTGATAAAATGAATCAGGAAGACCTAATTAAGGAAAGTAATTGTGAAAATGAAATCAGTTTTAGAAAATCATATGTTTGCTTTTTGGCAACAAATTGCAGTTTCTGTTTCTCTTGCAGTGATTTTCATGGTTAAGTAATTAAATTACAGTGTCGCCTATGACTTTCTGGTTTTTGATTTTGTTTATCATCAGTGTAGTGAATGATTGTGCTGAGTGTCTCGATCTCTGGAGTTTCAAAACCTCTGAAAAAAGAAAGGTGTGTATGTGTTAGTGTCGGTGTCTGAAACCGACACCAACACTTCTGATTACGTTTAATAATTAATTCTTTCAAATTATTACCGATCGACGTGTTAGTGTCGGTGTCGTGTTTCAGGTGTCTGTGCTTCATAGGTCTCGATACCATTTCAGTTTTCTTTTTGGTTATCATTTTATCTTGGCAGTCTTATTGTTGGTGTTTTCTTTATGAATAATGATATTATTGATTGATATGGTGTTTGAATTTCTTACAGTAACTTATAACAGATTGTGGGGAATGTGATTTTGGCAGGATGAAATAGTCGAATGATATTATTGGCCATGGTGACTCTGAGATTCGCAATGAACAAGACGATGTATCATCAAACTTGTTAGTTTCTCAAGATTTTGATATTATGGAAGGAGATACATATGTTGTTCAGAGTGAAGATCACGAAGAACTGAAACAGGCAAAAAATCGAAGTATTTCTCATGATGGCCCCAAGTATGAGAATGAACAAGATGGTGTGTCTTCAGACACATCAAGTTCTCAAGATGTTGAAAATCAGGAAGGAGATAGTTTTGTTGTTCAGAATGAAGATCACGAAGAATCAAGACAGGTGAAAAGTCAAAATATTTCTCTTAATGACCCCAAGTATGAGAATGAGCAAGATGACATATCTTCAGACACGTCAAATTCTCGAGATGTTGAAAATTTGGAAGTAGATAATGTTGTTAAGAATGAAGATCACGAAGAATCAAAAGAGGTGATAAGTCAAAATATTTCTCACGAGGGCCCCAAGTATGAGAATGAGCAAGATGATGATATATCATCAGATACGTCAAGTTCTAAAGATTTTGAAAATTTGAAAGGAGATACTTGTGTCGTTAATAATGAAGATCACGAAAAATCAAAAGAGGTGATAAGTCAAAATGTTTCTCATGAGGGCCCTAAGCATGAGAATGAGCAAGATGATGATATATCATCAGACACGTCAAGTTCTAAAGATGTTGAAAACTTGAAAGGAGATACTTATGTCGTTAATAATGAAGATCACGAAGAATCAAAACAGGCGAAAAGTCAAAATATTTCTAATGATAGACCCAATAATGAGAATGAACAAGATGATGTATCATCAAATACGCCTTGTTCTCAAGATGCTGAAAATCTAGAAAGAGATACTTATGTTGTTCTGAATGAAGATCACGAAGAATCAAAACAGGCGAAAAGTCAAAATATTTCTAATGATAGTCCCAATAATGAGAATGAACAAGATGATGTATCATCAAATACGCCATGTTCTCAAGATGTTGAAAATCTAGAAAGAGATACTTATGTTGTTCTGAATGAAGATCACGAAGAATTAAAACAGGTGAAAAGTCAAAATATTTCTCATGTTGGCCCCAAGCATGAGAATGAACAAGATGGTGTATGTTCTCAAGATGTTGAAAAGCTTCAAGGCGATGCATTTACCTTTCAAAAAGAAGACTCCAACAAAGATTTAAAAGAGGAAAAAATTGAAAATATGGGTAATGATGCTCCAGGGTTTGAGGAAAAGCTAGATGATATATTGGATAGTATATACGGGACAATAGATGTCGATTATAATACTCCCAAGAGGGTGAAAGACAATGTGATTGAAGGACCAAACTTGGCTCATAGGGTAGATGGAAGTAGAACTATGGACTCACATTCACCAAAAATAAATCAAAAGATAGATAACACTTCAACTGAGGTCAATACTATGAATCATAAAGTTGATGCAGATCTAGGGACTCCTCACGTGGTTGAGAAGGCTGTAGCGCTTAAAAACTTTGTGAGGGAGAAAAGTTTAGTAGCGGTCTCCACTCTACTGCGTCGACTTTCTAGAAAAACTGATGACGGTTATGTGAATAATTCTGATAATAAAGTTAAAGATGTTTCAGATATATCAAGAGACAGTGAATCCAAAGAGGCTCCTGAGAAGACATCAGAGAAAATGAATTGGAGGGACGGACCAATAACTGAAGGCCCTCTGCAACCCATAGCCATGAAAGGAACAGTTATACTGTACACAAGACTAGCCTGCCGAGAATGTAAAGAGGTTAGAAAAATTTTGTATGCGAAAAGGCTTAGATATGTTGAAATCAACATTGACGTGTACCCTAGTAGAAAGATAGAGCTGGAGAAGTTTTCTGGATCTACTTCTGTTCCCAAGGTTTTTTTCAATGAAGTATGCATAGGAAGCTTGAGTGAGCTAAAGACCTTAAATGAGTCTGGCAAGCTTGATGAGAAGATTGACTTCCTTATAGCTGAATCACCTTTATTTGAAGGACCACTTCCCCCACTTTCTGGAGAGGACGATGTGTCCAGTAGTGGGGCAGTTGATGAAATGGCTCTGATCGTCCGCAAAATGAAAGTATCTATTGTTGTGAAGGATCGGTTTAGCAAATTGCGAAGGTTCACCAATTGCTTTATAGGCTCTGAAGCTGTAGACTTCTTATCAGAAGATCAATATTTGGAAAGGAAAGAGGTAAGCTTGGTCATGAGTTTCAAACTTAGCACAGTCTTGTGCCCTTTAGATGTTCAAGTATGAATCCTTCCTTAGATTTTAGAATAGTTGAAGTTTTAATAATAATGAGTAGTCTAACAGTTAGATGTTTAATTTGATAATATGGTTAGGTTGTTTTTGTAGAAACTATCTTGTTGCACATGTTGATTCAGTTTTATTTGTTATGTAGCTTGTTCTTTTTAAGTTTCTTTGGAACTATGGTTTTTGTTATTTATGTAGGACAACTTATATTTTGAATTGGGCTAGCGACCCATCTTTAGCCAAAAAAGAAAGACAAATCACCAAAAACAGTTACTTTCTTGAACTTTGCTCACACGTCCGTGTTATACTTTGGCATTTTGTTCTTTGCACCACGTAACTGGAAGGGGAGATAATGTAAAAAACAAACAAGGTATTATGCTTTGGGTCTATGCTGATACTTGAACACAGTATTAGGTGTGCGTGTATTGGCACTTTTGAAATCTAGTCACAGCAATAATTTGACAGTGTTTACATTAATTTTTAACTTGATTGACGTGTCTGTCTATAGTCTCCATGTTAGAATTGTAAATGCATTCTAATTTAGGTGAATCTCTTTGATACATTTCCCTTTTAACATGTCTCTCATTAAAATACTTTTACTGGTAAACCTGTGAATTTTAGAAATTTTAGTCTTGCTACATTTGCAATAAGTCCAGGTCATGCATATCATCAACTGTATGTCCAACTGAAATTTATTACAGCTTCTTGCTTCATTGTATCTGAAAGAAACTGGTATTGTGATTGTTTACTTAGGAAAAGATATTAGAGAATTGGACTGCAATCATAGATATTGGGGATATGATGAACATGTGAATATAGGATAAGGATGGAAACTCTAGAACAAAGGAACAAAGCCTGTGGATGTAACTTCCAGCAAGGCAGTTATTGAATTGATATACAATACAAACTGTTTACAACCAGCAATTTATAAATAAACTAACCTCTAGGAATTAGAGAGCCTAGTCTCTCCCAAACCCACCAACATACAAAATACCTGATGCCCTCCCTTTTCCCTTTCACCCTATATTTATAGTTCTAACTACCTAAGCAATTAAAAATCAGTTACATAACAGTTACTAACAGTTACTGCACACAACATTCAATAATAATAAATAATAATTCAATAAACTGTCTATTACTAACGGTATCTTTTCTGTCTTCCTAATTCTCGTCTGGTGGTATAGGCTATTGAATTTGGACGAAAGCTCGCTAGCAAGCTCTTCTTTCAGCACGTTCTTGAGTAAGTTCAAGTATTCTCCAATTGGTATTTCTAATCTCCGGTGTTTTAATTGTGTTGTTACAAAACTGACAACCTGCCCCGGTTTCAATGGCTGTTGTTTTGCTTTAGTGATAATCTATTTGAGGATGGTAATTACTTATATCGGTTTTTGGATGACGATCCAATTGTGGCATCTCAATGTCATAATATTCCAAGAGGGATAACTACCACGAAACCTAAGCCTATCACAGAAATTGCATCAAGGCTGAGATTACTGTCCTATGCAATGTTTGAAGCCTATGCCTCTGAAGATGGACGTCACGTTGATTACAGAAGTATGCATGGAAGTGAGGAATTTGCAAGGTTTCTTTAACATTAACCCTCTTATGCCTTATACTTTTAAACTCGGAAATTCAATAATGATAACGATCCATTTAGTTATTTATATAATTTTTCACTGTTACTTACAAAACCATTTTCTAGGTATCTAAGAATTGTAGAAGAGCTACAAAGAGTAGAAATGTCGGATTTGTCTAGAGAAGAGACGATTGCTTTCTTTCTTAATCTATATAATATGATGACCATCCATGCAATCTTAGTATGGGGCCATCCAGATGGAATCCTAGAAAGAAGGAGATTGTTTGGAGACTTCAAATATGTTATTGGTGGGTCCACCTACTCACTTTCAGCTATTCAGAATGGCATTTTGAGGGGGAACCAGCGACAGCCATATACCCTTATGAGGCCATTTGGTGCAAAAGATAAACGTTTAATGGTAAAGTAATCCATACTCTGTATTCATGCAACCTTGATAATGAAGTTGTTCATTAATGATTAAGCTTTACTTCTGCCCCACTGGTGTTATATTTTGTTTGATTTTGGGAGTTGAGAGAATACAGAATTCTTTCAATGAATCTGAATATTTATTATTGTTAAGAGTCCCACGTCGAACAATATATGTCCTGAACATGTCCTTGTAAGCGGGGGCAATCCTAGGCCCAACCACATTTCTTAACAATTGTTGATCTAGAAAACTAGATACAATATATATAAGTAAGTATGTTATGATAGGAATTTAAATAGATGAGAAACTATCTCCTAACAATTTTTAACCAACCCTAACAAATTGGTAAAGAGTCTAACTGACTCAGCTTACAGTGTAGGCTTCTATACTCTTAATATTCCTCCCTCAAACTGAAGGTGGTTGCTAAGGAGAGCACCTTGAGTTTGCTTCTCATGTCACATAATTGAGTTCAAGGGAGAGGCTTCGTGGAGGAGTCTGCAAGCTGATATTCAATAGGAACATGAGAGACACGAAGCTGCTTGGAGATGACCCGATCTTGCAGGAAGTGAAAATCCAACTCCATGTGCTTGGTGCAAGCATGGATGATAGGATTGTAAGTGTAACTGCACTGAGGTTGTCACGCAGTAAGAAATGAACATGAACGCAGACTTGTAACTCTACCAAAAGGCGATGAACCAGAGAACTTCAGTAGTGGCATGAGCCATGCTACGGTACTCGACTATGGTGCTGGACCTAGCAACCAAGGGTTCCTTCTTGGAGCTCCAAGCCTCCAAGAGACTAGGTTAGGACCAAATAAGATACAAGAACTTGAAGTGGAACTAAGATCATCAATATTATTAGCCCAATCAACATAACTATAAGCCTTCAAAGTGAAAGGAATATCAGGATGATGGGGCTTCATAAGGAGTCCATGATGAATGGTACCTTTGATGTAATGTAAAATCCATTTGACTGCCTTCCACCAGATTTTTTTAGGCCTTGACATAAATTGACACACCTTGTTGTCACTCAAATTGATGTCAGGCCATGTCAAGGTTGCACCAACAGTAGATCTTTAGTGCGACGGGTCATAGAGCAAGACAGTGCTAAACTTGTTGAGTTTACAGTTGCTGACTAAGAGAGGAAATACCCTTGGATCCGTTCATGCTAGCTTAGAAAGTAGATCTTAATGTAATTTGTTTGACTGAGCAACAGATAACCATTTCAAAGGCATTTTTACTTTAATACCAAGGAAGTAGTCAACAAGACCAATTTACTTGAGTGCAAACTGCTGATCCTACTTTTTAATGAGAACTTGAACTAGGGAGGGTGAGGAACCCATAATGAGAATGTCATCAAAATACATTAAGACATAAAGAGAAGTGTCATACCGAGAATGTATATGAGTAAGGAGGATAACACCTACTTTTGACAAAAACAAACTGAGTGAAGGCACTAATCAATTTCTCATACCATAACCAAGGAGTTTGTTTGAGGCCATAAAAGGATCTATGGAGCTTGTATATCAAATCTATGTTAGGGGGTGCAAAGCCAGAAGGTTGAACCATAAACACTCTTCATCCAAATGACCATTGAAAAATGTATTGTTTAGATCATTTTCTTGTTTTTAGCCATTTAAAGAGAGCTAAGGTAAGGATGATCCTGCCTTAAAAGTTTCAAAGAGATCTTATGTTAGAGCTTTAGATGAGGTGTATAAGCCTCCTAGTGATGGGAAGTATTAGTTATTTTATTCGTTGTATTGCATAAAGGGAAAAGTCCACTTTGTAGCCGAATAACCATTCAATAGCAGAAACTGTTATTTTCTCTCTGCATCTTTATTCTTTCTGTGCAATTATCCTAGCTCTACCAGTTTGGTCTGACCTGCCAGCAATGGAACAATACATGGAAGACAACATAGCAACAGAGGAAGAAATCAACACTTAGCTCAAAACCTTCGTGAAGGAGAAGGGCGTCGATTAGCAGCAATGGAATCTTTTTCGGTGATAATGCTACTGGTGGCCTTTTCGAACAATTGAAATCATTGAAGCAGGACGATGGTCTAGAAACCTATATTCGAGAGTTTAAAGTCCGGTTACAATGATAAGGGCAGATGATGAAGGAGCAATTTTTGATTTATTGCAAGGACTGTGCCGACCTTCTTTGTCAGGTGCACATTCATGACCCTCAAGGTCTTTGTTAAGCAATTGATCTTGCTTGAAGTTTTGAAGAAGCATCTCGTGTATTCAGATTACGTGATAATCAATCTAATTCAAACGCTAATACATGTTTCTTGCCTCAAAGTAATTCTTTTGGCAAATACGATGTTGCTGTAATAAACACGAATACAAATAATTCCAAGAATATTAAATCTGGGCGATTCAAAAGGAGTTTTTGGTGTCGAGAATGTTTCGTCAGGTTCACATTCTACTGAAAGTTTCAAAGGAACACGACATTCACCTTATGTTGAATATACGAAACATAAAGAGGGAAGGAGTTTTTGTTGTAATGAGGCTTTCAGCGCTTGACATAGTCGTGGAGCAAAAAAAATCTGCATTATGATTTTAGAGGAGGACAGAGGTGGAGAGATCGCAACAGAGAGGCTCCAGTTGGAATCAGGTCTGGAAGATGACATATCCAAGAATGAGCTTGATCTTGAAAAAATGAAATCAAGTCTTTGTGCTCGGGAAGGCATTTCCAACCTAGAACTATGAAGTTGATGGGAACCATTCAAGGCTGCAAGGTGAAAGTTTTGATTGACAGTGGGACTACTCATAATTTCATTGACTCCAAAATTGTCCAACTTCTGGATCTAACAACAGTCATCTAGTGATGACATGCATTCTGTTAAGTTGGGGATGGCGTTGTGGAACATACACTGGGTTGTTGTAAAGATGCGATTATCAAGCTGAGGGCATATTCTATGTTTTTGAATTAGGAGGTATTGATGTGGTTTTGGGTGTCGCTTGGCTGGCAACTTTAGGCACTGTTATGATGAAAAAGAAAAGTCGAGCATGTTTTTGTGCAGCATGTCGTTTTTAAAATTTTGGGTACCCTGCTTTGGAAGAGACTTTAGTTTCTCATAAATCCTTACATAAGATGATGTAGGTGAGTAACACTTCTCTACTCTTTTGCTTAACAATGCATCAAGCAGAGGAAGTGCAATCGGACATGATTTAGTTTTAAAATGTTGATCATGGCAAAAGATTGGTTTTGAATGCTCTACTAAAAACATTTGAAGTAATTTTTGAGAGTCCTAAGGGACTGCCCCCTAGTAGAGATGTAACACAAAATTCCTTTAAAACAAGGCACATAACCAATCAATGTGAGACCTTATAGATATTCCCATGTCCAGAAGAATGAAATTGAGAGGTTGGTGATTGAAATGTTGGAAGCAGGAATAATTCAACCTAGTTGTCGTCCTCTTTCTAGTCCAGTCATTTTGGTCAAGAAAAAAAGATGACACTTGGAGGTTCTCTGTGGATTTTAGAGCTCTTAATACGATGACTTTAGCTGATAAATACCCTTTGTCAGTTATTGAGGAGTTGTTGGATGATCTCAAAGGTGCTGAATTCTTTTCAAAAGTGGTCTTAAAATCTGGTTACCACCAGGTGACGGTGCATGCTGTTGGTGTCCACAAAACAAATTGATAGCAGTTGTCCTAATGGGTTTTTTTGATAGCCTTTGATACCATCTTTAAATTTGGATTGAGCCTATTTGTTATGATGAGTTAAACCCAACTCAAATTCTAAAAGTTTTTACATTAAGCCTAATTGATCTTTACAAAACCAATTTGTAACGTGAGAGGTGCCTTTGTTTATAAACTCTTTTCACACTGTCTTTAATCTATGCCGAACTTGAGTTTTTTCAATACACCTCCTCACATCTAATACTATTGGACTTCGTGTGTTGGTGTAAATGGTGGATGACCCGAATGGACAGTCTCCCCTTTATTTAATGAGAGAAATATGGTAAAACTGTGTTTTTCAACTACACTTCATTGACATTAATTTCAATAGAATATCTTAGAATATTAGAAAATATGCTATTCCTATATATAATATACTATTTAATTTAAAAATCAATACCTAAAATAAATTTAAAAGGAGGTTTTGCTGGGTTATTTATTTATAAGTCATTGAAAGGGATGAAAAATGTTTAGCTTTTGTTGTTTGGCATGTATGCTTTCACTTCATCATGAAGTTATCTCATCAGTAAATCTACTTACTGACTTGACTTGATGCTCACTTTTCACTACTTTCTTTTTGTTAGGTGGCCCTCTCTTTACCAGAGCCTCTCATTCATTTTGCTCTAGTATGTGGTACTCGATCTGGGCCTGCACTTCGATGCTATTCTCCTCGCGACATTGACTCAGAGTTAATGGACGCAGCTCATAATTTCCTTAGAAATGGTGGCGTTTTGATAGATTTTACTGCAAAGATTGCATATACCAGTAAAATTCTTAAATGGTAAGTTCTCTAAGACTCTTATATAATTGATGTTCTTTTAGGTAAGTTTAAACAAAGAACTGGTTGAATATTTTATGTTCGCGTACACATTCTCTCAGTAGGAGAAGGTGAAAATTTTGGAATGGCAGGCAATACCCCTTGAACTAAATACAATTACACACGTATAAAGTATCAAACTTCATACACACATGCAAATGCACAATATATTGGTGAAACCCCTAGACTCAATACACTACATGATAAAAACAAAAGGAAAAGTGATATTATAAACTGAACAAGACTAACATTATATACAAGAAGAGATGCCACACAATTATTTAGATAAGTAAAAATTAAAATTGCTTCGCCTCAATATGATTTTAGGACAACATTTAGAAGAGAAGAGTTTGAGTAACTTCATGTAAGTGACAATTTTTTCTTTCTACGATCCTATTTCACCAGGGAGTATCAGCACATATAAATTAATGATTAATGTCTCATTTACTAATAAAAGCTGATAGGTTATGACTATTAGAACGAATAAGATTAATGTTTAACAATATTAGTAAGACTTAAAAGGAAAAGTAGTCTTATGGTCCTTAGAAATACGATAAACATATTGTTTAAAAAATAAAAATAAAAAGGTACACTTCATCAATAGAAAAATACAGATGACCAAGAGTTTGCGCTGAAGCCATATTTGTGAGGCAGAAGAATGAGACTCTGATTGATACTGAAGAGAATTAACACCTTCTGACCAATGCGTGCATCAGACAAATAGTGTAATTGTCCGCGCACCTTAGCAACTCCATTTGTCTTTCTTGTGATAAGATCCTGAAAAAGGACATTGAGAATAGAAAAAAGATTATTGGACAGTTTTATTCCTGAGTAAGCTTATAAATAGAAATTAAGCTATGAGAGAGTGTGAGAACTTGGAATAAGGTTGGAGCTCAATATTTCATAAGTCAACAACACGGATATGAGAACAATTAATAACAATAATGAAAGGAATACTCGAAGGGGAGATATATAAAAAACAGTGATTGCACGCCGAATAGTTCTTTTAGCAAGAAGACAACGGGCAAAATCCTAGTGAAGGCGGGAAAAGGGATGAAACTGCAGTGATGAAGACTAGGATTTATACATAAGACCTCTAAAACTAGGAGTTCGTGATAGCATGTAAAAGATAATTTGATATACTTCAAAGTTGTAAGAAGGGTCTAATAACTGGACCGGATACACTTTTAAATGATGTAAATAATTACATATTTGCATTTTTTACAACAATGTATTTGATGTTCTATTATGGGGATTCTAACAATTTTTGTTATGGATACTCAGGTTCAGCTTAGATTTTGGCAAAAATGAGGTAGAGGTTATGAAGCATGTGTCAATCTACTTAGATCCATCCGAGTCTGAACTATTGTTTGATTTACTTGCCACTTCTGAGTTGAAGGTGATATATCAGCCTTATGACTGGGGTTTGAATTGTTAGTGTGCTATATTAACTTTGTAAATATGACACTAATTTTCGTACTAATTAATATTCTTATGATATGCATGTACTCCCTCCGTCCCACAATGAGTAATCCAATCTCTTATTTCACACATATTAAAAAAATGTAGAAAATAAGAGTGTATAATGTTTTTACTATAGTATTTCTAATTATATATTGAAAATGATGTAAATTTAATTAATTAGAGGTAAAATCGAAAAAGTGTATTGGAAATTGAAATAGACTATTCATTTTAAGATACTATTTTATTTCAAATAAATCTCTCATTGTGAAAAGAAGGGAGTTGTAATTAACACCGCATGTTACTTCTATTTCAATTTCATACATCTTTATTGAAAGGTATTAGACGTGATGACACTAAATTCATACACTTACACTTAATATACCGTTCACAAATACATGAATATTGTTTTTTGTTTATTATTTTAATTTTTTGATATATTTAAAAAAAAAATTATTTTTGTTAATGAAATATGAAAACTTAGTTAATCCAGTTCAGAGTTTGGTTAATATATAATTTGACAAAAAAATATTTTCAAGTTATAAAGTAAAGTTGGTTAATGAACTCTTATGAATTGGTTAATATAGTTCATAGTTTGGTTATCTTGTTTGAGAAATTAACATGGCACCTTCCATTTTATATATGTCACCCCAATTTCAATATTTCCAAAATACTCGTTTCACTATTTACTCTAATTTATTTACTTTTGTAAAAAAAAAATTAATATTGGTCAAAGGGATAATTTTTGCAATTTTCGGTACTCTTAGCAAATTTTCGGTACTGATTTTTGTCACATACCGAAAACTCTTTACATTCTACAAATTTTCGATAGCAATATACTGAAAATTTTGAAATTTCTCATTGCGATTTACCATAAATTTTATAACTTCCTGTAAATTTTACAAAAATTCTACAAGTATCAGAAATTTAGAAAATTTCCAGTAGAAAACCTTTACCGGAAATTCCAAATTTCTGGTGTACTAGAAATTTCAGTTAAACTTCAAATTTTCGGTTTATTTTTAGAGTAAAAAAATACTGGAAAATTTGAAATTTCCGGTATTTTTTATACACCATAAACTTCAAATTTCCAGTTTGTTATTTTAATGACGGAAAACACAAGAAATTTGGAATATCCGGTACCGAAAGTATCAATTGAAATTTCCGGTAACAACCAAATGGCACGGTAAAAACTTAGAAATTTAACAAAAAATTTGGTATTTGTGCGAAATTTCCGATACGGAACCGAAAATTTCAAAAATTCCAGTATATTTCAGGGATATTTTCGTAACCGCGCCATGTCAGAGGGGTTGACATGTATAAAATAAGGGGCGACATGTTAATTTTTCTGAGTGTTCTGACATCAAATATTAAATCTGATGTAGTAAACTAACTTTGGTTAATATTATATATAAAATTGGTTAATACAATTCATAAGTTGGTTAATGAGTTCTCAAACATAAAACATTTTTATATAGTAAAATAAAGTTGGTTAATAGAGTGTAAAAATTGGTTAATACATTTATAATTTAGTGTCCGAACATGTTTAATAATATATATTTTATTGGTTAATGAAATAGTAAAAAGAGGTTAATGAATTATAAATAAAATAAGTGATTAATGACATAAGTTTTTGTGATTAATACAATTGTGAAGTTGGTTAATAACACAACATTATATTTGTGGTATAAAATAAATTTAATTTAATTTTTTTTTAAAAAATAATTATTTTAATAAAAAATATTGTTCAGTGTATAAATACATCGAACAATATATATGGTGTAATTATTTGGTGTAGGAAAGGATGTCAAAAGAGCAATGTTATTTCTACACCAATACTTATACCTAGGGGTGTCAAACGGGCATGCCCATCCCGTTTAGGTCCGCTCTGCAAAAATCCGCAAAAAATGGAGTGGGACGGGGCGGGCATAATTGATTGATGAGGGCTTAAAACCTAGGTCCGTCCCGCAAAAAATGAGTGCGGGGCGGATAAAACTCGCGGATACTGCACCTTTTAGGCCTGAAAATGCAAAATTTTATGTAATAATCATGTCCGCAAAAGCTTGCGAAGAAAACGGGGCGGGGCCGTTACATTAGAGGGTGAGTGCCTAAATTCTTGGCCCGTCCCGCACTAAAGTGCGGATAAAACAGGCATACTCAACGGGCCGGGCCCTTTTTGCCACCACTACTTACACCTAACGTTGTTCACCGCATTTATACAGTGAACAATGTTTTTTTAAATAATAAAATATATTTATAAATAGTGACATGAACAATGAATAGTGACATGCACCTGAACAGTGAAAAAGTTGGTCAATGAAATATAAAAAATTGGTTATGAAGTGATCAAGTTGGTTAATAATGGCTCAAATGTTAAAAATAATTTAGTAGTAAAATAAATTTGATTAACAAAAAGTAAAAAGGTTGGTTAATAAAGTGATGAAGTTGGTTAATGAAAAATAAAAAGTTGGTTAATAAAGTGATGAAGTTGGTAACCTAGTAGCTTGAGCTCCAATGGTAAAGGAACTCCTCCTAAGGATGTAACCCGAGGAATACCGAGTTCAATTCTTAGGTGGAATTCACCTATTTATACGGTGATTATTATTGGGTGTAAGTATTGGTATAAGAATTAAGTGTAGGAATAACATTCCTGCAAATAGATCTCACAAAATTTATTCTTAGTGTGACCTTTACTCATGAGTGTTCATAACTTTAGGCATATCAATTACATTGAAATCCGACACTTTTGAAAAAATATGTGTCCTTGTTTATGTTGGAGTTTGAAATCGACACTGATATTTGTGACTATATTTAATTAATTTTTTTTCTAATTATTACTGCTGTCGATGTGTTGGTATTGATGTCATGTTTTCAATGTGCGTGTTTGATAGCTCAATATCCATTACATCCATGAGTTCCATTTATATTTTGGGAAATTATTTTTAGACATCAATTTTTTATGTTTAATCTTCCACTTATAATTTTGGAAAACTTTTAGATATCAATTTTGATGTTAAATACAATTTTTATACTAAAAAAATATTTATTCAAATTGAAAAATATATAGATCATTATAAATTTAAGATTGCTAAAAATTGAAAAAGGTGAATATGTAAACAATCTTGTAACACTTAGGTTAATAGCATACAACAACAACATGAAAGTGCATACAAATATGACAATAAAAAGTAAATGAAATATTCATACTTTTGAATCTACAACATTGACGCTCAAGCCTTCTTTTTAAATGTCTATAAAGTCTTATAGACCGGCCTATATTTTCAAGTATATATATATATATATATATATATATATATATATATATATATATATATATATATATATATATATATATATATATATATATATATATATGCTAATAAATCAGGTCAGACTTTTAAAAAGACTAGGACAGACAAAAAAAGAGCCTATAATAGGCTATAAATCAGAATAAAATCTTTTAAGTTTATCGTAGATCAGACCCAGACCTTTTAAAACCTAGTATAACTTATTTCCACCCCTAACTATATAGATGATTTTGAACGTTATATGATCATATTATTTATTAAATTCAAATGGATCTACCGTTTTGTATAACATTGAAAGGAAACCTAAAATTATAGTGTATCATTAAAGTTTATTTATCGAAAGAATTAATAAATCACAATTTAAATATTGACTTGCTCTCCCCTTCATCACATCTTTTGATTTTTAACACAATTTCAAATTAGAGTACATAATTTTCTTATATGGAGTGAGGTTGCTTTTAGGTGGAGCATATATTTTAATGGATTGTGTTTTATGCAAAAGACACTCATGTTATTATTTAATTTAGGATGATTAGATTTTAGAAGCTGAGTGTTAATTTGTGCATATCTGATTAGTGTTATAGTCTTCTTTTAGACTTTGGTGTATGCAAACCTGCGAGTTGAATCGTAGAATCAGATGAGACAACGTCCCAAACTCCTCTAGACGTGTTACGATTCAGGTGGGATCACAGGTATCTAACTAAGTAAAATTGAACAAGTTGCACAACAATTTGTCTTGAAAAGAATCTTGGGTGGCGCTTCTTTGGTGTTTTTTAATAAACTAGTAACAAACTCGTGTGTCCGCACGAGTATAAAATTTGTAGTGTAACATTTTTTTTATGATATGAATAACATGTAGACAACGTTCCTTAACAAACTATAACAAAAAAATAATAGTGAAATTAGAAGGTTGATATCTTGTTTCATACAAAAAATAATAGTGGATAACTTGCAAGGAATAAAAATTGAATTGTTGAAATCAAATAATACAATAGATAATGTTATATAAGTTAAAACGGAAATGACATATTTTTATTTAAGTTGTATATACCTTTTAGATTTTTGAAAAACTTCTTTGAATACAACATTTGTGGTAGTTTCCAAAGTTTGTTTTGATTTGTCATGAATCAAAATTTTCAACCCTTGCTTGATTTTAACTCTGGAGAAAGCAACATAAAGTTGGCCATGACTAAAAACCTCTTTCGGAGAATACAAACCGACAAAATCAAGTGATTGTCAAGTGACTGCCACAGTGACTGGGAAGGTGACAATGACATCCTAGGGATATAAATAATGTTCCAATATATTTCCTTGAAATGATTTTTTGCTTCAATGACATGATTGGCTAGTTTTGTAACAGTTAGTCTTGTACCATTACATAAGCCTTCTGATTGATCCAAATTTCTCAACAACATAATAGTTCTGCCAATTTTTAACTTTATAGAATGATTAGGCACGCCAAAAGTTTTCAAAGCACCCACAAATTCAGAAGTTAAATATTCAAAAGCATCAAATTCAGTAGCCTCAAAATTGTTAATTGAGTCGGAACTCAGATATTCCTTTTCTGTTCCTATAAATCATAAAAAAAATAAAAATAAACTTACTAATAAAATATGAAAGGTAAGAAAGAAAAAACATTTGTATTATGGAGAAAAGGATTCTGGCGTATGAT